AAATTAAACTCTGAACACAGTTGATTGATACAATAGTGCAAACAGGCAACCACCATCTGAATTCTGTCACTTCTGGCCTGTTGCCCTGCTTGCTTAGTCTACAATTTTTCAATTTTGCCACCACTTTCTCAAGGTAAATTTTTAAATCTTTTTGTTTTTAATAAATATAAATTGGGCGTTGTAGTGCGTTTTTTTACTTTCATGAGCTTAAGATAAGATGAGAATTTGCCCTTGCGATTTTTAACCTGGAGGAGGTTACCTTACCCAGGTAACCCAAGGAAGAAAATCAGGTATGATCATCAAGGACTATATGTCTTTATTTCCACTGGAGTCCTTCAATCATGCTCTTCAGGATATGACCCACACCAGTCAACATAACACTAGGTACCTACCTGCTGGTGCGTGGGTTGACCAGGCGACAGCAGGTGCTAGGAAACATGCACCATTGTTTCCCACCCATGTCGGGGAATCCCTTGTAACAATGAGACAATCAGTGTGGCGAGCATTGCCCAACCAGGCAAGAAAGTTAAGAAAGTTATTGAATGAGAGATGCGTGAACTTGATTATATTTCTTTGTCTGGGTCAACTTAATGCCATTGGTGGGAAACAGGTTATACTTATCAGTCATGTTATGTTTGTCACTAACAGCACTTCATCAGCATTTCCCTAGTCAAACTATATTTAATTAGGCACTTGCTTGACAATCTAATATTCTCATTGTGAGATGACTTAAGCTACATATTACAATGTGCCTAAATTAATTAATATTATGTGATTGTTCGCTATAGTATGAATCTATGATAGAGTACATGCAGATTGTATTGTGACTGACGTACATAGTCAGTAGACATGACATACATTACTGTGTAAAAGCTTTGATAAATGCAAATCTTTCAACATTATGTGTATTGCATATTTTTTTTTTTTTTTCAACAAGTCGGCCGTACTCCAACGCAGGAAGGGTTGACCCAAAAAAGAAAGAAAATCCCCCAAAAGAAAATACTTAAAAAACTCCGGCCGTCTCGCGTTAGCCACTGCCGGCCAGCCTAAGCCCACATATGTATGTGTATATTTTATACTATATTCATAAAATGAGATTTCGTTTGGCTACAACAAACCACACACTGCGAGAGGGGAGCTTACCGACGAAAATTCGCCGTTCGAATTGGACCATTAACAGAGTCACAAAGTGACTTTGTAAATGGCACAAGTTGGACTGAAAACATCTTTGTGAGCGTTCTCTCTCCTATGCTGTGGGTATTCATGTAATTTGTTCCAGTCATGCGTCTTGTGAATTTTTGTTCTTCAATTTGTAATTTGGTCATGGTGGCCTAATAATCAAAATTTTTTTTAATGCAAGAGTATTTTGAGTATTTCTTTTTATTATTGAAAGTACAGCACACATTTATATCTTTTTATATTTTTCTTGTAGAACATGAGAACTTGGAAGAAGTATAATATAAATTGTGTTGTTCACCACGTGAGCCAAAAAGACCAAAAAATCGAAGCATTTTGGTCTTTCTTGATTTGTGGCAAGGTTACCTCTCTGTGCCTTTACTGTTTATCACTCACTCTGTACTGGCCAATGGCACAAACCCCCCCCCCCCCCCCCCCCCCCGCTACCCAGGAAAATGAGCTACACAGCCAAAATAAGGTAATGTGGTACTTATAATTGCTGACGTGTAGACAGCAGCCCAAACTTGTGGTAAGGCAGTGACTTGACTGAATGACAGTGAATGTGTTTCTTCTTGTACAACAATACATGCCGGCATCTTTTGCCTTTTTAATCCATTTTGTATTGTCTTTGAGGTGGTTTTGGTCACTTAGGACAGATTATTATTATCATGGGGGAACGCTGCTAAACCCATGCGGATTATACAGCACCTGTGAGGGGCGGATGACTTGGAGGGTTGTATAAATCTGAGGTGGAGAGGAAGGAGGGGTAAGGGTCATTTTAGGAAAGGATGGAGAGAGGGGGTAAAGGAGAGGTTTTGTGTGCAAGGGGCTTGGACATACAGCAAGAATTCGTGGTGTGTGTGGTTAGATAGTGAGTGGGAGACAAATGATTTTTGAGGAACGTGAAAAGCTGTTGGAGTGTGAGAGAGGTAGATGTTTTGTATGGGAAAATACAATTGCTAGCACTTTTAATAGGAGGGATTTGGCGTTATTTTGCTTTTAGCATTTAACCATAGAAAAAGTTGTATTGCTCGCTGGCCTTCTGGCAACACATGATAGTGTGTATGATGGATGTGAAATTGCTTCTGTTTTGGGTCACTCTGCCTGTGTGGAGATGGCCAGCCTGTGTGCACTTAAAAAAAAAATTGCGATTCGTGCTTTTTGAATCAAATGAGACATTGACCTCTTAATGGATTTTTTAATAAAACGTATTCGTTTTGCAGGTGAGACTCCATCATAAAGTGTTGGAATTTGGAAGTCTGGACTCAACCTAAGTTAAGATTCTTAGCGGCCCCCACTTTGTCCTCAGGGTAACTTCCTGCGACAGCTGCAATCTAAGGCCATTTCACACACTTATGGCGCCATTTTTTCTTCTTGTCTTCTCAGCCAAAGTAAGTTTTGGCATTTAACTTCGTATTTTTTAATTGATCCATTTTAAATGTTATGGTGTAAGAGTATAATAAAGTATTTGTTTATTTTATTGAGTATAGAAGGGAGCATCATGTCATATTTTTAAGAATACAGTACTGTATACAACATTCTTGTGCATAACAACCAGCTGCCGTTTCATTTCATTTTCTTAGTACAGTACATAACTTACTTTTTTTTTTTTTTATCACATTGGTTATTTCATTCCAAGGTAGGGTGATCCAAAGAAAAAGATACATTCACAATCACTCATTCAATAACTGTCTTCCCAAAAGTGCGCAGTTATCACTATTCCATTGATCCTCTGAACTACACTGTATTTCCTACGTCCATTATTCATGTTTGGCTAATCATTTTTCCTGAATCCCTTCATAAGAGCATGACAAATACTTGTCTCTGCACTCACATGTGCCTTCTGGAAGATCAGACATCCTTCCCCACTCAAAAACTTGTTCCTTTTCAGCAAACTCTTCCTGGGACATTCCCAATACCTCTTTCCACCCAACCCAGAATTATTACTATGTAACAGTACAGCCTCTCCTCATTTAATGACGGAGTTCCGTTCCTAAGACCACATTGGTAAATGAACTTGTCACTAAGCAAGGAACATACTACAGTAATAGCGGGTTTGTGTCAACCGCCTTTGATATTGTTTTAATGTCACCTTTGCACCATATATAACATTTTTAGTATATTTTAAATGTTTATACAGTAGTGTACTGTATATTGTAATAAACAGAATAGAGGAAATCAGCTCTAATATACATTATTTAAGTATGCATACTGGTCAGAGAGCCTGTCATAAGTCTGAGTTGTCAGTAAACGAGTACGTCGCTAAGTGAGGAGAGGACTGTATTGGCAGTACACAGTGTGTATAAATGATTTAAGAGCATCAACATTGGCTTAAACATCTGTTTGAAAAATTCTAGTTATCTTGGGATTGTACATGAAGGCATACAATACCAACAAGAGTGTGTACGGCCCCCTGCCAAACTAGCGGTTAAATAGTTAACCTGCCGGCCGGCAGTACCACTGGGTACGTCATCAAACCCATTGTGGGGACTGCTGAGCCAGCCTTAGAGCATTAAGTACCTGAGCACCTCACGGTACACATCTAAGCAGTAGGTACCTGACACCTAATGGTACACATCTACTGGCTTTAGAAGCAGTAGGTACCTGAACACCTAATGGTACACATCTACTGGCAGTAGAGTATTCTACTGGCTTCTACTGATTTTAGAAGAACCGCTCACCGCAGCTCACTGAGTCTGTTGGCCTCAGTTACTTGACGGCCGCATTCAGTGAGCTTGCAGTATGGTGTTCGGCAAGCAGGATTAACCGAACCTCCTTGCGGTGTCAACTGGTCTTGAAGGCGGTACGTAGTACTCACCAGACCATCTTACGGTTGTACTTCTACCGGCCTTAGAGAGTATTTACAGGACTACGGTGATGTCTGCGGACTCACCGCCTACGCTGGTCAACTGTGAGCCGGAGTTATCTGATGCTGTTTTAGTGGGACATTACATGAAGAAAAGGTTGGAGTGTTACACTGAATGGGCTAGGACCGTAGTGTGACACTTAGGGAAGTATGATGGAGTGGAACACTGAGATTATGCTACAGGGACCGTAGTGGAACACTGAGAGAAAAGGGTGTCGTGTGACACTGAAGATGGCCTGGTTGTAGTGTACATTGAATAGTGTCATGTGACTGGTCTCTGATAAGAGAGACGCTGTGGGTGATAGTGTGCGACGCAGAGACAAGGGTGTCAAGAGTGACACAGTAGAGATATTGTGTATGACGCAGAGAAAAGGGTGTCGTGTGACATGGAGAGTAGGAGTGTCGTGTGACACAGAGAAAAGGGTGTCTAGTGGACACGGTTGAGCAGGAGCGTCATTACACGGAAGAAAGGGTGTCAAGTGGCACAGTTGAGAGGGAGCATCACAACACACCACGGATAAGTGTCGTGTGAGACACGGAGCGTCATTAGGGTGTCGTGAGACACGGAGTTGACTGTAATTTATTATTATACAAATGTTATTTATAATTTATTATTTTAGCATAGATATATATATTATTATTTTAAGATGCTAATAATTTATTATTGTAACATGTATATATATTTTAAATACCTCTAGACCAAAGATTGATTTTTATATAATATTAAAGATTAATTGATTTTAATGTTGTATTATGTATCCCGAACTCTTTATTACAAAAGGAGTAAAACTTACCATCTTTAAAAATCACTTTTTTTGTAATAATGTGCAACACCCCAGATGTTGCACGTGTCTAACTCTTTATCTTGGGATTTATTTAGAATATACAGTACTGTATAGGCTTTTAATATAATTTATAAACCATTGTAAATTAAATTGCATCTCAATTTTGTTTTTAGAGGGGAGTTTTGGCAAGATGATCTGTTTGCCATGTGCCAGAGAGTTGAGAGAATGACTAAGGCTGAGGACTGGAGCCTCCCTATTTTGGCGTCACACCTGCGTACACTGCTCTGGAAGTGGTTGGCATGGGAACCAGCACAGCACTGCATTGCTAATAAATTGAAAACAACTCTCGGCAAACCTCTAGACACATTCACTAGTATTGAAGGTAACTAAATATTAATCCTTAAACTGTCCAAACGTAGATCTACATTTGCTCGTGTAGTGCTCCAAACATAGATCTATGTTTTTTACATTGTTTCTTATGGAGAAAATCAAGGTCTGAGTGCTATGCGCGCAAACGTAGATGTACATTTGGACAGTTTAAGGGTTAATTGTGTGTTCACATACTGTATATGCATGTGCATCTCTGTCTTTGCTTGTGAATGAAATTTTTTTTTTTTTTTTTTTTTTTTCAACAAGTTGGCCGTCTCCCACCGAGGCAGGGTGACCCCAAAAAAAAAGAAAGAAAATCCCCAAAAAGAAAATACTTTCATCATCATTCAACACTTTCACCACACTCACACATTATCACTGCTTTTGCAGAGGTGCTCAGAATACAACAGTTTAGAAGCATATACGTATAGAGATACACAACATATCCCTCCAAACTGCCAATATCCCAAACCCCTCCTTTAAAGTGCAGGCATTGTACTTCCCATTTCCAGGACTCAAGTCCGACTATATGAAAATAACCGGTTTCCCTGAATCCCTTCACTAAATATTACCCTGCTCACACTCCAACAGATCGTCAGGTCCCAAGTATCATTCGTCTCCATTCACTCCTATCTAACACGCTCACGCACGCTTGCTGGAAGTCCAAGCCCCTCACCCTTTGATAATATAAGCCATGAATTTTAAACTTTTCATTAAGATGAAATGGTAATTTAAATGTTTTGGAAAGATTGTGCAGTGTGTGCACTGATCTGAACTGTCATATCTACACATCTCTGGCAAAACAGTGATAGTGTGAATGATGGTGAAAGTGTTTCTTTTTGGGGTCACGTTGCCTAGATGGGAGATGGCCAGTGTGTTCAAAAAAAAATGATAATGATAATTATTTGTTCCACAGGAGTCATTAAAAGTCGAGCAAAAGAGGTTAAAGAATGTGGTCAAGATTTAGAAAAAGGCCAGTTGTCTGTGAAGAACGAGGACGATAAATCTGCCACCAAAAACATGAATGGAATGGAAAAGGCTGATGGAGAGAGTAATAATGTGAAAATTCAATCTCTTGCTGTAATGTTACTAGTAGAATTTGTAGAGAGTCTTGAAAAAGCCATGTTTAATGCAAGTGATGGATGTGCTGTGGCAGTTCCTCCCCCAAACAAGGTACCTCATGATGACATTTCAGGCATGTTGTGTATTCTGAATATTGTTAATGTTAGTAGCTAATAGTCAATTTGATTTATATTAAATTTTAGGTGATAATGTATACATGAGTAATCACAATAATAAGGCTCTTGGATGAGATCAGGTAACCCATACTAACCAATAAATTTACATGCCCATGGCATGCTTGTACTGTTTGCTTGCTCATCAAATATCTGACGTATACTAATTTCTTGTCTCTTGTTTCTAGAGTGTTAGAACTTTCTTTCGTACAAATCGTCAAACATGTACTGAATGGTTGAGTCGCATACGAGCAGCAGTTATAATTGTTTCACTCAACTGTGGACGACCTGAGGTAGCAATCCGACACTCATACAAGCTTCTTCAGGAACTGAAAGATAACAACAATACCCAGGTAATTATGATACAACATGCTAACATGCCTGCTGGATGCTCAAGCCCCTTCCACTTAAAACTTTATTCGCATTCTCCATCCATCCCTTCCTGGAATTAGCCCTACTCCTCCTTCCTTCCACCCCAGATTAATATACCCTCTTAGTCATTCTTATCTGCTTCATCCTCTCCAAATGTCCAAATAATTAATATTATTAATAATTTATGTGTATTTAAATATTGTTTGCTTCTTTTAACAAACCAGCTATATCCGACCGAGGCAGGATTATTGTATTATCATTTGTTATTGATGTATATATTATTTATGCCTAGGTAGTAGGTTGGTAGACAGCACTGCCCAGGGAGATACTACCATCTTGCCAGGTGAGTGTAAAACGGAAGCCTGTACTTGTTTTACGTGATGGTAGAATTGCTGGTGTCTTTTCTCTGTCTCATAAACATGCAAGATTTCAGGTACGTCTTGCTACTTCTACTTACACTTAGGTCACACTTCACATATATGTACAAACATATATACAACCCTCTGGGTTTTCTTTTATTTTCTTACTAGTTCTTGTTTATTTCCTCTTATGTCCATGAAGAAGTGGAACAGAATTCTTCCTCTGTAAGCCATGCATGTTGTAAGAGGTGAGTAAAATGCCGGGAGTAAGGGGCTAGTAGCCCCTTCTGTAAAAATTACTAAATTTAAAAAGAGAAACTTTTGTTTTTCTTTTTGGGCCACCCTGCCTCAGTGGGATACAGCCGGTTTGTTGAAAGAAGATCTGGGTTTTCTTCTGTTTTCTTACTAGTTCTTGTTCTTTTTTTCCCCTTGTCTCAGTGGGGAAGTGGAACAGAATTCTTCTGTAAGTCATGTGTGTCATAAGAGGTGACAAGGGACTAGTAACCCCTTCTCCTGTATGTACATATTACTAAATTTATAAAGAAAAACTTATGTTTTTCTTTTTATGTCACCCTGCCTAGGTGGGATATAGCCGGTTCGTTGAAAAAAAAAAAAATTATAAATGGCTAACCTTGCTGTGTATGTATTAAAAAAGATTGATGAGACACGTCACTTTAACTAGATATCAAATGACATAGGTTTTTTGGTTCTTATCTCCTTAGGGTAATGACTTTGAACGTGCAGTCTGCTACTGTGCTCGAGCACTGTGGCAAGG